GGTAATGGCCCTGCCTGGCGCCAAAAAAGGAGCACGACCCCGGAGGACCTGCCAACCACTGGTCTAAGGGGACACGTACCCCCTCCCCCCCCCATCGGGTTCAAAGGGACCCTCGGGGTCCTGCGGCGCCATTTGACCGCTGAGGGTTAACGATGGCCATATTTCGACTCAGAAGGGCCCCATGGGGCTCGTTAGAGCACCTCCGGGGCCCTAAATAGCCACACTAAGATCTCCATAATGGCCCCACGCCGGCTTCTGAGGGCCTCTTGCGGCTTTTAAAGGAAACAGTCCACTTTCCTGAAATCAGTATTTTGCTATTGATTTATGATTTTTTATGCTCAAAATAATCATGAAATAAAATAGAACCTTTTTGTAAAAACAATTATTTTCTATATTTTAATATAGCACGAACTATATTCTATGTAAAATAATGTTTGACGCGGAAGCTTATTACGCATTGACCAATCATATTGCGTAGCTCAAACCTACGCATACTGCATTGGCTGTAAGCAGCACGCTGATTGGCTGACGATGACGTGGCTGCATTCCTGTGCAAGGCACGCATTCCTCTACAAGGCACTCTTTTTGGAACGAGAAATGGAATATCTTCGTCTAGGGTGATCGTTGAGCCGTAAAAGCTCTTGATTTGTGCTAGTCTCAGCTCAAGCTACGAAACTGCTATTCCAGCTCAAAACCCCATGTTAAAAGTGAACTATTTCCTTTAAGGGCCCCTCGGTGGTCTCCAAAGGCCCGTTACTGGCCTCTGAGAGTTCTTACCGGCCTATGAGGGGCCAGTTCTAGAGGCATTTCCCGCCTGTGATGGTCCCACACCGGTGCCTCTGAGGGTTTCACACCCCCAACTCTTAGTGCCTACACCAGTACCTATTAACCCGCGCCCCGTTGGGCTCTGCCGAGCAACGCGCCCGGTTGGGGGGGGGGGGCCATTTTGGCCCCCCCCCCTAAGATCTCGAGAACCACGCAACATAGCGACAAGCGGTAAACGGCGTTGGATAGCCCCAACGGGGAACTACCTTGTGACCCAATTTTATTGACCTAGGTCAAACCGATGACGTCACAGGTCAGGTCAAAGGTCCAATTTTCACCGTTTACAGGCACTTCAAGAAATGCGTTATAAAATCGAGTAAAATGCATTTCATTGTAAATCATCGATGGGGAAATGTTCTTCAAACACATATTTTGCTATTTGAGGTCACTGATACCAGGTCAGGTCACAGAGGTCAGGTCACGGGGGGGGGTCACAATATGAAAGTGTCGTGTGATACATGTTTTATGGTCCATTTTACATGACAAATGCGATTATATGGGTCAGGCAGCCTTTGGGGCCAGCTTAGATCACGTTTTGGTCAAGGTCAGGTCAAGGTCAGGTCAAGGTCAGGTCAAATTAGGTCAAATTTCAAAGTTAATATTTTTGCATAAAATGGGTATCGAATCGATGCAGCTCGTCACGGGGAGTTCAATGGTGGTCTTTGTTTTGCCGTACGTGGTCTAGAATTGCAAAAAATTGAGTTCAAAAATTTGACGTCATCATTTTTGAACAGTTTTTTTCGCTATAACTTGGCCAAAAAACGAGATATCGATCTGAAATTTGGTATGTATATAGAAGAGCGCTGGGACTATCACATATATTCCGGTTTTTTCGAAATTCGGGAAAATTTTGGATTTTTTCAAAGTTTTTCTAAAAAAAATCAATTTTTTGAATTTTTTTTGGTCAAAAACCAAAAATTTTGAAAATCCGAGATAGCAGTTTTGTAGCGCCGCTTTTTGTCTACTAGACCATATAAAGAACTTTGAAATTGCTTGATAACTGTAGATTTGGTGAGCGTTTCAAGATTGCATGTTTTTTGCTCATTTTTGCTCGAACATGACCTCAGTTTGACCTCAATAACTCCTGACCTAAGGTGACCTAAGACTTGAAATTTGGTGTGAAGGTGTCAAATTGATGCCCGGGAAGGTACTGAAAATTTGGCGGCGCTGCGCGCCGCCGTTTTCTTGCTATTCAGGAAAAACCACAGGGGGGGGCCAAAATGGCCTCCCCCAACGGGGCGAGGGTTAACCCTATTAGTGGCAGGCTCCTGGCTACCCCCTATTAGTGGCAGGGGGGGGCTGTTTACGACCCCCCTTGATATATCGAGATCTAACGGGCCGATTTTCAAAATTCAAACGGCATTCGATTTCGCTCAACGAGATCTACATTTCTAAAAAAAAAATTAAAAAATGTCAATAGGGGGGTAGAGGGGGTAAAAACGGGCAAATTGCAGATGCATTTTAGACTGTTTATCACGGCCAGGTTTCTGAACCAATCCTAACGCAACTTTTGCCGATCGATAGAGAATGAACCAGGAATTCACATGGATCCTAAAAATATGCATTTTAAAAAATCATAGGCGGATACAGATCATTGAGATTGGGGGTACACAAAAAGTATAGTAAATAAGGTTTTTGTTGGTACTGTTTCTAAAAAGGGTGGCAATGGTCTTGTCATGTTACAATTTTCTTATGAGAGAACGACTAAAATTGTACTGGTCATGCATAGGCGGTGTCAGGGCACCTACGTTGGGAGGTAAAAAATAACCCCCCTTTTTGGACGCCTGGATCCGCCTATTATAGCAAAAACGTGTCAAAAGAGGATGCACAATAACTTTGTATATGTTATCACATGCTACCTTTCATTCCCTGTTCGTAAAACTGGTGCAGCATCGTGATCTTCGCCCAAATGACTCGCTTCACGAATAGGACCCCCCAATTCCCAGTGCTCTGGAGCCGCCCCTGGTAAAGTTATGAACTTGAAATTTTCAGGGAATGTGCCCAATTTAGTTTTAGGAAAAGTCACAAAATTTCAGCATCGTAGCTTCAGCGGTTTCGGAGATATTCCCGAAAAACCTGAGGGGTGGATAAAAACAACCCCCCCCCCCTGCCACTAATAGGGTTAAAGCCCTATATCGGCGTCTCTGAGGACCCAATGGTGACTTTTGAGGGCCCCACACCGGTGACTCTGAGGGTGCTACCGATATCTGAAGGCACCACACAAGCCCTTAGTGTCGCTGAGCTTCAATCCCATACCGGCCTTCCGAGGGCGCCACGTCAGTGCACCCATTGCCCCACAGCCCTCCAGCTCACACCCGGAGAGGGTAAACTGTGTTATACCCATAGCAACGAGAACGACTTGACCACCGTTGTACGTTATGTATTCCTCAAAGTTAACTCAAAATGGTCAGTAGAAAATTTGGCCTGCCAAACTTATGGCCAAGGTCAGGCCCAAACCAAAGCGGAATGACAATAGCAGATGTTGTCAAATCGATACTACATATATCAGCAGAAGCCATTCAGATGGCAAGGAAAATGTCGTGTGTTGATGTTTAGATGTATAAAGGGAACAAGAAGGAAAGAAGTCCGAAAAAGGAGGAAAAAAAATGTATCGCTGCCTCAATGTTGCTCTCAAGTTGGGGGGAAGCGCTCCCGCTGCCCCCCCCCCCCTCTGCTCCCGGGTCTGTGGGTTTACATAGCCTTGATTGAAACTAACGTTTTAATCAATGCTTTTTTAACAGTTGATAAATATATGGCCAGTTAAAACGTGTTTCTGTATTATCATACAGAATGTTATATATGTGTTAGTGTTTGCCAGTGTTCCACCTTGTTCGGGCGTGCATATGCCTCATTCGCTTGCCGGATTTTGCTCGACTTATGAGTCGAGTCGGAAATTTGACTCAACTCTGACTCAATTAAGTCGGGTGTGAGTCGAGTCAGTTACAATAGATTATCTGTTGAGTCAGAGTTGAGTCGAGTCGGATAAAAACGTTGAGCTGTTGAGTTGAATCAGAGTTAGGTCGGCAAAATAAGTTTGGACAGTTATCGAGTCGGACATTAAAAATAAACATGTCAACTGACTCAAGTTTCTAGAAACAAAGGTATAAATAAGTGTCTAGTTACCAGGCATCATACACATGGTTTTGACTTCTGAATATCATGTTTATCTTAATCTTTTTATTTCCTGATGCATCAGCTTCAGCACATGTCTGAGCAGGGAAAGAAATTTTTACATGCAAAAGACATGTTATCATAAAAATTTGATTAATTTAATTAAATAAATAAAATAAATAAATATAATAATGTAATATAAATATAATAAATAAAAAAATTAATTTAATTTAATTAAATGATAAAGTTAATGATTTGGGCAAAAAGTCAAACATTGCTTGGTCTAAATCACTTCTTGTACTTAGGATACATTTTCCAGCAGACTCGGCATTTACCAATAAACAAAATAAATACCTTGGTTTGTGAGTGTTGATGGATTTGCCAGATATTGGTTGACAGTAACAATTTAATGATAGAAAAAATGCAACACCACAAGTCACAACCATACCCAAAACGAAATATTTTACAAACACATTCAGAATCACACATAAAAAACATAGCTCAAGGCCGACGGTCTATAGCATTCTAAGAAGAAACAGCAATCTTCGGCTATAGTGTTCTTTGCTTCTAGTTTCGAGGATCGCTAACAGGCTTTGGTATAAAGCGCTTGTGATTCGAGATTTGCAGGACTGCTCGCGATATTTGTAGCGAACACGCTTTATAGAATAACGCTCCCCGCAAAACTTTTGCCTATTAGCCCTGGCTGCCTGATTTTTCTCTCCCCCCCCCCCCGCTGAACAACTTGTTTACCTTTGAGTCAATTTTGAGTCGAAACAAGTAAAATTCAACATTTGAGTCGAGTTGAGTCAACTCATTTTTTCATCGAGTCACTTGAGTCATGAGTCGAGTCAAAAGAAAAAAATCAGGCTTTTATTTGAGTCGCAGTTGAGTCGAGGCTCTCTGAAGTTGAATGATGAGTCGAGTCAGCAATTTTTTTTTTTTTAGTCGAGCACAACCCTGTTTGCTTGATATGCCTCAAGCATGTGCCCATAGATAAAGAGCCGATTTGTGTGGGACTGATGAGTTCAGTCGGCTGGCCGCAGCCAGCCGCGGCGGCCACTCACTTGAGCACGTGGTTGGCCGCCGGGCACTGGCACAGCTTGTCGTAGTGTCGCAGGCAGACGAGCCGCTGGCTGCAGGGGCACGTGATGGCCGACAAAAAACAGGTGGTCTTGCAGTAGTCGCACTGGCGCTCGTCGTCCTGCAGAAGCTCGAACGCCTCCCGCTCGGCCCTCCGCACACCCTGCACGTGTCAGTCCGGCGACACTGTCAGTCCGGCGAGAGAGAGAGAGAGAGAGAGAGAGAGAGAGAGAGAGAGAGAGAGAGAGAGAGAGAGAGAGAGAGAGAGAGAGAGAGAGAGAGACAGAGAGAGAGACAGAGACAGAGACAGAGACAGAGACAGAGACAGAGACAGAGACAGAGACAGAGACAGAGACAGAGAGAGAGAGAGACAGAGACAGAGACAGAGACAGAGACAGAGACAGAGACAGAGACAGAGACAGAGAGAGAGAGAGAGAGAGAGAGAGAGAGAGAGAGAGAGAGAGAGAGAGAGAGAGAGAGAGAGAGAGAGAGAGAGAGAGAGAGAGAGAGAGAGAGAGAGAGAGAGAGAGAGAGAGAGAGGAAATGGAGGGAGGCAGGGGGAGATGAGAAGGGCGGGGATAGGGAGGGAGGCAGGGGAGATGAGAAGGGCAGGGATAGGAAGGGGAGGGCGGGGTGGGTGATGGAGAGGGGTGGAGACAGAGGGCACCCAGTGGCCCGGCCCGTCCGCCGTACCTTTTCCAGCATCTGTGTGCGGCTGGTGCGCTCGTCGTCGATCATGCTGAGCATGTTCTGGTATGTGGCCGAGGCGACCAGCAGACTGAGCCGCTGCGGTTCCAGCGCCATGCTGCACACCAGCTCGTCGTGCGAGAACACGCAGAAGCGGCGCAGCTGCGAGTAGTGAGTGACGCACTGGCGGCCGATGGCCAGCTGCCGGCCGGCCAGACACAGCCCCGTCAGACGGCGGTCAGACACAGCCCCGTCAGACGGCGGCCAGACACAGCCTCCACCCCCCCCCCTCCGTCAGACGGCGGTCAGACACAGCCTCCACCCCCCCCCCTCCCGTCAGCTGCCGGCCGGCCAGACACAGCCCCGTCAGACGGCGGCCAGACACAGCCCCGTCAGACGGCGGTCAGACACAGCCCCCCCCCCTCCCGTCAGACGGCGGTCAGACACAGCCCCCCCGTCAGATGGCGGTCAGACACAGCCCCCCCCCCTCCCCGTCAGACGGCGGTCAGACACAGCCCTGCCGTCCAAAGGCAAAAACGCATATGTCGGGCCATGACCTGACCCGACATATCCGTTTTTGCCTTTGGACGGCAGAGCCCCCCCCCCCCCCCCCCCCGTCAGCCGCCGGCACGTCAAATAGCAGTGACAAGCAAGCATCAATGGCAACGACACAAAGTCATAAAACCAATCCAAACCCATACCACACAGATACGAAGGATTCACAACCTTGATAGGCTAGGTACACTCGGGGGCAGATTGATGTTCTACAACTCTTTATCCACCGGGTTCCTATGGCTCAGCATTGGCAGCAGCCGCCTGGTACCGGTAGACTGTGCCGCTTCACTTACTTGTCAAGCGGCACAGCCTACCCACACCGTATGCCACTGGTCTGGGTCGGTGGCTGGAAGGCGATGTGGGCCGCCTGTGACGTCAGCGCAGCGGTGAGGGCCGAGCCCGGAGGCATGGCTCGGGTCGGCGCGGCGCGGCGGCTGGCGAGGGCTGGGGAGTGAGGTGGGGTGGGAGCACGAACCATCGCGCGGCTGAGCGAGTGTAGTTAACTTTCGCGTCTCAAGGCGCCAATTATTCTAACGAACAATTGTGCTAAAGCAGTTGTTAAAATGTCCTATCCCCAAGACAGCGCCTATCATCATACTTGCCATGCACATTACGACACACTTAAACGTGGCATTGGGACAGCCGATAGAATTTATATCACACGTGCATCGAGTTGCGGAGCTACATTGTTTTTAACCGATAAGTATTAAGGCATTATTAAGGCCTTGATTGAGCTCATTGGTGTCTATTATTTCGCACAGCAATCGTCCAGAGAGAGACGTGGGAACTGGGGTTTTTGGATAGCGCGGCGTCCCAACTTTAAGCAACTTTTACTGTTCCTCTAATGTGTGGTCGCAGCCACCACTAGCAAACCGTTCCATCTAGGAACAAATAAGTCGCGCACCTGGGACGGTTCGAACCGGGTTTCTCCAACCGGTCACCCTACGACGCTAGCGTGTATCCACTGAGCTGCCGAAACCAGCGACCACCAGCAGCGGTCAAACGCGATCAAATGTCACAATACTGTCATTGGCGGTCAGCGGGTGAATGTCATTTTGTTTTGTGCAGAAGAGGACCATCCTCGGTAGCTCAGTGGATGAACGCTCGTGTCGTGAATTGGCCGGTGGGAGAAGCCCGGTTCGAGCCCCATTGAGTGGCCGAGTTGTGCAAGTTGAAACGGTTTGCTATTGGGGGCTGCGACTACATATTAGAGCAACAGTAATAATCGCTTTAAATTGGGGCGTTGGCTGCGGCACTACTCATAACCCCCAGTTCCCACGTTTCTGGACGATTGCCGTGCGAAACAATAGACACCAATCTGCTCAATCAAGGCCTTAATACTAATATGTTATACAAAATATAGCACCGCACCTCGATGCACGAGTGACATAAGTTCTATCGGCTGTCCCATTGCCACGCTTAAGTGTGTCGTAATGTGCATTGCAAGTATGATGATAGGCGCTGTCTTGGGGATAGGACATTTTAACAACTGTTTTGGCACACTTGTTAGGTAGAATAATTGGCGCCTTGAGACGCGAAAGTTAACTACACTCGCTCAGCCGCGCGATGTTCGTGCTCCCACCCCACCTCACTCCCCAGCCCTCGCCAGCCGCCGCGCCGCGCCGACCCGAGCCATGCCTCCGGGCTCGGCCCTCACCGCTGCGCTGACGTCACAGGCGGCCCACATCGCCTTCCAGCCACCGACCCAGACCAGTGGCATACGGTGTGGGTAGGCTGTGCCGCTTGACAAGTAAGTGAAGCGGCACAGTCTACCGGTACCAGGCGGCTGCTGCCAATGCTGAGCCATAGGAACCCGGTGCATAAAGAGTTGTAGAACATCAATCTGCCCCCGAGTGTACCGATAAGTAAAGATAATTTTGATGTGAGCTTGACTAAAAACAGCCTTGAAGTGATCCGACAGATAAGAGCACGCCTCTGCTGGTCTGAGTGTGGGCGCGGGTGGCGGACGTACCCAGTCCGGCGGCGCGAAGTTGACGGCCTCGGCGAAGTTGAACCCCTGGTTGAAGCCGGTGTGGTAGGCGCGCGGCAGGGTGACGACAAACTCGCCGGCGTGCTGGTCCGTGCGGAAGATCGGCACACCTGCGCACACCGCCGCCGGTCAGCATCAGCGGCCAACAGCCCTTCCCTCGCTACATCAAAGACATCCACTGGCTGCACAATGCACGTCACACTGGCCACACCAACGCTGGCTGGCCTGCGCCTAACGCTAAGTTTCACAGCGCGTGGGCCGGCCGGCCGTCGCCACTCACCAGCCGCCATCAGCACGTTGGGGTTCATGGTGGTCACCAGCTGGTGCAGCAGGTCCGGCTGCGCCTTAAACAGCTCCGGCGCCGCCGACTTCATGGCCTCCTCGAACTGCTGCGCGCGCAGGCCTGACACGCCGTACCACGTCTTGGGCTCGCCCCTGCGCCACAGGCCAGACGGTCACTGGTGGCCGGTACACACAGCCGGTACACACAGCCGGTACACACAGCCAGTACATACACAGCCGGTACACACAGCCGGTACACACACAGCCGGTACACACAGCCGGTACATACACAGCCGGTACACACACAGCCGGTACACGGCCGGTACACACACAGCCGGTACACACGGCCGGTACACACACAGCCGGTACACACAGCCGGTACACGGCCGGTACACACAGCCGGTACATACACGGCCGGTACACACAGCCGGTATACACAGCCGGTACACACAGCCGGTACACACAGCCGGTACACACAGCCGGTACGCACAGCCGGTACGCACAGCCGGTACACACACAGCCGGTACACACAGCCGGTACACACAGCCGGTACGCACAGCCGGTACACACACAGCCGGTACACACACAGCCGGTACACACACAGCCGGTACACGACCGGTACACAGGCACACACGTGGTTTGACGCACCGGCCGGAGTTCACAAAGCCCTCTATCCGGCGACACGGCACGGTGACAAACAGTGTACAGTTAGGCTGACCCGCGCAACTCTCAAGTCATACGGCACAGTCTACCAGTACCAGGCAACTGCAGCCAGTGCTGAGGCCCGGGCTAACGGCGAATAAAGAGTCCCTTTCGATTAACCTGAGGCTCGTAAGCCGAATATCAAGATAGCCTGTAACCGACCACCCCATTGAGAATGGCACGTACCAGTGCAGGTAGTTGATGGAGTAGCTCCAGTGGTCCTCGTTGTGCCAGCAGAAGGTGGAGAAGCACATGCCGACGTACATCCAGGGCACCTTCATGCCGGAGATGTTGGCCTTGATGTGCGCCAGAATCGAGTCGTCCAGCACGGCGATGTTGTTCAGGTTCCAGCCGGAGCGGACATACTCCTGTGCGCGCCATCAGGTCCAGTCAGTGACACCGCAGCCGACATACCATCAGGTCCAGTCAGTGACACCACAGCCGACATACCATCAAGTCCAGTCAGTGACACCACAGCCGACATACCATCAGGTCCAGTCAGTGACACCGCAGCCGACATACCATCAGGTCCAGTCAGTGACACCGCAGCCGACATACCAGCAGGTCCAGTCAGTGACACCGCAGCCGACATACCATCAGGTCCAGTCAGTGACACCGCAGCCGACATACCATCAGGTCCAGTCAGTGACACCGCAGCCGACATACCAGCAGGTCCAGTCAGTGACACCGCAGCCGACATACCAGCAGGTCCAGTCAGTGACACCGCAGCCGACATACCATCAGGTCCAGTCAGTGACACCGCAGCCGACATACCAGCAGGTCCAGTCAGTGACACCACAGCCGACATACCATCAGGTCCAGTCAGTGACACCGCAGCCGACACACCATCAGGTTCAGTCAGTGACACCGCAGCCGACATACCATCAGGTCCAGTCAGTGACACCGCAGCCGACATACCAGCAGGTCCAGTCAGTGACACCGCAGCCGACATACCAGCAGGTCCAGTCAGTGACACCGCAGCCGACATACCAGCAGGTCCAGTCAGTGACACCGCAGCCGACATACCATCAGGTCCAGTCAGTGACACCGCAGCCGACATACCAGCAGGTCCAGTCAGTGACACCGCAGCCGACATACCATCAGGTCCAGTCAGTGACACCGCAGCCGACATACCAGCAGGTCCAGTCAGTGACACCGCAGCCGACATACCATCAGGTTCAGTCAGTAACACCGCAGCCGACATACCATCAGGTCCAGTCAGTGACACCGCAGCCGACATACCAGCAGGTCCAGTCAGTGACACCGCAGCCGACATACCATCAGGTCCAGTCAGTGACACCGCAGCCGACATACCATCAGGTTCAGTCAGTGACACCGCAGCCGACATACCATCAGGTCCAGTCAGTGACACCGCAGCCGACATACCAGCAGGTCCAGTCAGTGACACCGCAGCCGACATACCATCAGGTCCAGTCAGTGACACCGCAGCCGACATACCACCAGGTCCAGTCAGTGACACCGCAGCCGACATACCACCAGGTCCAGTCAGTGACACCGCAGCCGACATACCATCAGGTCCAGTCAGTGACACCGCAGCCGACATACCATCAGGTCCAGTCAGTGACACCGCAGCCGACATACCATCAGGTCCAGTCAGTGACACCGCAGCCGACATACCATCAGGTCCAGTCAGTGACACCGCAGCCGACATACCATCAGATCCGTCAGATGTTTATCATTGACCGTTAAAGCGGGTTTGAAATGCATAGTTAGTAGGTAACTCCTGCATCATTGCATGTTAAAATGCTGCGCGTGGCGGGGGCATTTTTGCACACACATTTAAGATTTTCGAGATTATCGAGAAGAAAAAACGGTGGGGCTAAGCAACGCACTGACTTAACCATTGTTGAGAAACATTCAGTGATTGTTAACAGTGATAAGATGCATTGAGCGTGCATCTTGGGTTTAGATAAGTAACTAAGGTCAGGTCAATATTTAGGTTTCTCCATTACCTCGCACCAATAGGTAGGCCCGATTAGAGGAATGGGCATTGGACATGTGGTGCTTCTCGTAGTGACAAGCCATGAGCGACGTTCAAGGGTCTCCCAAAATCACGAAAAAGTGGCTCCCTCATTTTCAAGTCAGATCAAATTTAGATCATGGCGTCAGGCGTGACTTGATGGTCTTGCTTTAAATGGCCTCTGTCTGAAATAGTTATTCATGACAAGTAAAGACAATAGGCATACATCAGATACAAGACATGCTAAGTAGTTTTTTTCAGAATTCGGCGAAGAGCAGTGTGCGCAAAACGACCCTCCCCCGCTACGAAGCAGATTTTAGGTTAATAATGTGAAATGAAACCGCGCCTCTTTTGGACGAGTGTATGTAATCTTAACTAAACCCTCTTAACCCTCGCCCGTATGTGTGTTTTACCCAAGGCTGCAGAGTCGGAGTCGGAGTCGGAGTCGCCAAAATCTTACCGACTCCGACTCCGGAGTCAGAGTTAACGCTGCATGGCTCAACGTCATGCACTGTACCTGTTTGATTGACGATATTGCGCTAGAAATTAGATTTTGTCGAAAAAGGCCATTTTGCTGTTTTGGACAAACCTTTTCAGCGAAAAAAGCAGAAGACGGGAAATGCCCCAGAACCTGCTTTTTAAACCTGCATGTTATTTTTAACGCATAGTTGCAACGCAATGCCTTGGAACGCACAAGGGCAAAATGTGGCAGAATGTGGGCCCGAGGACACGGTTCTTGGAAATTTGCTGACGGGTCCAACCGGGTCTTACCTAACATAAACCATACATCTTGCACACTACGTCTGGTTACAAAATATGAAGTGAATGGAAAGAAAACATTTGCTCATGTATGTTCCTTTCCACACTGTAGCTCAAAAGCATTTCCAGTGGAAAAAGACTCTTTTACATGATGCAACTAATGTTCTACAAATGATTAGTATTAATCGACTTGGGGAGCGGGTCCTTTCAATAACGACAGTGACTAGGTTATAATTTTTGGCTGATATGATTAAAATATGAACCAATTAGATCATATCGAAATGTTTCATTAAATCATGCTCTTATTAAACATGAACCTTTCATACCTAAATACCTACCTAATAAAATACCTTTTACCTAAATACCTAAAACAATACCTTTCATACCTAAAATACATGTAGGTATTTTGAGTACCTACATGTGAAGAAAATTAAATGCTATATATGATAACCCGCGCCCTGGTGGTGGGGGGGGGAGCTATTTTTGCCCCCCTCCCCCACCCCCCAGACTTTTCGATGTATCTCCAGAACCATTGCGCCGATCGTCACCAAACTTTCAGTACCCTCTCGGGCATCAATTTTACACATTGTGACCAAAAAAATTCAAAGGCTATGATATGTTGGCCGTAAATGACGTCAGAGTGACGTCAGTTCTGCCGTTTTCGACCCAAAAAAAGGTTTCGCGGGAAGAGCTGTCAGGTTTTGAACATAAAGAAAAGCATTTACGACATTAAAGGTGTAGAACCAGTATAACGCCTTTTGGGGCGACTAACGGAGCGAGCGAGAGGGTGGGCCTTGCACGTGCAAAATTGCGAGGGGGTACCTCCAACTGACTTGTGCACGGCACCCTACTAGCCGGTCTCTAGCGATAGGCCAAATTTGAGCACAATCGGCCCAGCCGTTCTCGAGATCTGGGAGCGGCACCATGCACGTGCGCACGTGCAAAATGGGTCCCAACTGACTTGTGCACGGCACCCTACTAACTGCTCCGTAACCGTGTACCAAATTCGAGCGCAATCGGTCCAGCCGTTATCGAGATCTGGAATCGACCCCTGCACGTGCGCACGTGCAGCAGCACCCCAACTCTGGCACATGGATATGCATTGCCTAGTGGGTGCCTACCTACATGCCAACTTTCAGCGCAATCGGCCCAGTAGTTACCGAGATATTGCAACTATTGCAAAAGTGACACCTCTTCGTTTTGCACGTGGCACGTGCATAAGGGGTCACCCACATGCATCGGGAATAGTCCAATACTTGGTAGAAGGAATGAAGCTACCCTACAAAAATTACCGCATGCAAATCGGTCAAGTGGTTGCTGAGATATAGGCCTCGCAAAACCGTGACCACGGCCGGCCGGCCGGCCGGCCGCTCATACTAAAAAATTTCCGTTAATCTAAGGAAAGACTACGCTCGCTTCGCTCGCTCCGTAATTACCAGTATAGCGCCTTTTGGGGCGACTAACGGAGCGAGCGAGGGGGTGAGTCTTGCACGTGCGAAATTTCGAGGGGGTACCTCCAACTGACTTGTGCACGGCACCCTACTGACTGGTCTCTAGCGATGTGCCAAATTTGGGCACAATCGGCCCAGCCGTTCTCGAGATCTGGAAGCGGCACCCTGCACGTGCGCACGTGCAAAATGGGTCCCAACTGACTTGTGCACGGCACCCTAGTAACCGGTCCCTAACTGTGTACCAAATTTGAGCGCAATCGGTCGAGCCGTTCTCGAGATCTGGAAACGACCCCTGCACGTGCGCACGTGCAGCGGCACCCCAACTCTGGCACATGGATATGCAGTGCCTAGTGGGTGCCTACCTACATGCCAACTTTCAGCGCAATCGGCCAAGTAGTTACCGAGATATTGCAACAATTACAAAAGTGACACCTCTTCGTTTTGCACGTGGCACGTGCATAAGGGGTCACCCACATGCATCGGGAATAGTCCAATACTTGGTAGAAGGAATGAAGCTACCCTACAAAAATTACCGCATGTAAATCGGTCAAGTGGTTGCTGAGATATAAGCCTCGCAAAAGCGTCCGCACGGCCGGCCGGCCGGCCGGCCGGCCGCTCATACTCAGAAATTTCCGTTATTCTACGTAAGACTCCGCTCGCTTCGCTCGCTCCGTAACCAGGGCTACAAAACTGCTATCTCGGAATTTTGAAGTTTTTGAATTTTGACCGCAAAAATCAAAACTATACTTTTTTAATATAATTGTCAAAAAAATCCTAAAAGTTTTTTCGATTTTCAAAAAGACGAAATATATGTGATAGACCTTACCGACTTCTATTTACATACGAAATTTCAGATCGATACCTCTTTTTGGCAAAGTTATAGCGAAAAAAAAACTGTTCAAAATTGATGACGTAAAATTTTCAAACACAATTTTTAGCAATTATAGACGACGTTGCGACCTGACCCAAAAAATGACCGAGGTGTTTTCGTCCTTATTTTGGACGTTCTTTCGATTGCCGCTTACCGCGTGTCGCTACATGGCCCAGGAGCCGAGTTAGAAGGGGGGGGGTGTTCAGACACCCCCCCCCCCCGGCCCGGCGCGGAATCTCAGAGCACCAGCCCGGCGCGGGTTAACTGCTCAGCACTTTAAAGACAGGCCAGGTCAGATCAATACTAGGTGAATATGGAAGTCAGTTGAGTGGGACAGGACGCGTTCGGCTTAAAGGGACAGTATCACCACTTTGATGAAATTTGACATTGCATAGGCCCCACCTTTCTGGTCCGGGAACTGAAGACCGATCCTCGAAGCTCCACACCGTTATCCCGCTATCGCCGCTCAAAGTACGAAAGGTGTACTACACTTTGAATCGTGCTTCACTATCTTTACTGTTTAAATGTTTGCGCCGTTTTGAATTGACCGCCAGTAATAAAACTTTTAACCTGGTCATTTCCTCAAATTTTATAAAGCCAAAACGTTTTTCGCACTTATTCATCATCGTTAAATTCATTAAATAGTCGTAGGCAATTTCCGCTGTTTCCTTCGGATTCTAGCGGCTCAACAAAGGAATTCCTTCAGCTTGAAGGAATTCCTTCAGCTTGTCACGTGATATCTTCTGGGCAATACCTAATGCTGCCTTTCCCTAACGACAACTCAATCGGAAGAGCGGCCGCGTAAGCGTAGCGTCAATAATGTATTATCTGCGCCAGTTCTGTAGTAATTTCGCAGGCTTCCAAAGTGGCGGCCATGCTTGTAGTGGTGGTTCGCTCATGAAAATGACTCGCTCATGAAAAAATATTTTTTCACCGAGTTCGGTCCTCAAACTATGTTTTTCTGATTCAGAAAAATAAGAAATGCTAGTAAAAAAAAAGCTCCATACATTGATTTTTTTTCGATGATACTGTCCCTTTTAAGGGACTATCCCACCTTTAACATGGGGTTTGAGTTGAGATAGCCAAGTTTGCGGCGAGGTTCAGAAACCACTATCTATCTAGGTTGCAACCCCCGCGGCCTCTTGGTGTTTAAGAAATTCGTTCCATTCATTTGAAAATGGGCCTTGTACAAGGCCCTATCTTCAACATGGAGCGACCGTTAGTGTGACGTCACCTCGTTTAGTCATTCTGATTTAAATGGGTTTGTTCGTTGAAAAATCGCTTAAAACTTGGTCTGAACTTTGTTGTGGTGCCTACAGAAAAAGAATCAGCTTTATGACAGTAATGTGGCCTGGGGAAGGAGGTAATTTTGGGCTGTGACGTCACATATTTGAAAGTTTGTGTTTGGAATATGGGAAGCCTAAGATGTTTAATGAAAAATAAATGCCAGAACCGTGTTCCTGGTCATCCAATCTATAAAGTCGGGCACAATTTAACTGGTTTTAACAACATTTTAGAAGGTGGGATAGTCCCTTTAATGAAGGGCACGCTAAACTTTGGCATCCAAATTCTCCCGTTACCAGGAATTGCGCGATCGGACGATAGGGGTCGGGGTCTACACAACAAGCTCTGCTTAGCGTTGACTCCGGCTCTGTCAATCCGTACACATCCAAACATTTGAGCTAAACTACAGGATGATCAAGAAACAATGACATAAAGTTAGCCCCCACGAGAGGCGCATAATACATATATATGTATGTTAATGCATTAACAGCACACCGTTAGAAAGAGAAATGTTGGACATTTACATAACACAAACGGAATTCAGTTGTGACATTTCGTTTGTCTAAAGGAGGTGCTCGAAGTGCCCACCCCTCTACACGCAGCAGAGCTCGGCCCGGTGCCGGGTGTGCCGCGCCATGCGTCTTAGATGGTTACCGACCATCGTGAGGGCGTAGTCCTCGACGACTAACGACAGCCTTCAGTTCATCAAGGGTCTCCACGAGGGACCAAGGGATCAAGGGAGGGGGATCAAGGGAGTTCTCTCCACGATTTCTTGTGCTGCTTGGGGTCACAAGCTCAAGTCCAGGCCGAAAAAAAACTTCGGACTGCATGGTGACCAGGGATATTGGGCCCTTGCCGTGCCGTAACAAGTGCAGAGAGGTTAACTTCAAAAATCAACTCAACATCCACCTTCGCAATGCTTCAGGAAACCTGGGAACGTCTTTCAGGTATGTGTGGACAATTCTGCACAAGAAACTGAACTGGAAACCATATCGCCCGATCCTAACGACCGTCCTCTCCGTTGACAGCATGGTGTCGGTGCTGGAAGCGTGCATCTTCTGGCTCAGTCAAGCCGAAGAATGGTTCGAACGGGTGATCTGGAGCGATGAGAAGTGGTTTGTGCTAAACAATCACACTACAGGAAGAATACAGTCTCCCCGCGGTAGCCTAATAATCCACAGGAACTGATTCATACAAGAAGGCGCCCGGAGCAAAGGTCATGGTCGAGCGGAGAAGCGAGATCTCTTCGAGCACCTTCTGTAGACAAACGAAGTGTCACAACTGACATCCGTGTGTATAATGTCAAATGTCCAACATTTCTCTTTCTAACGGTATGCTGTTTGTGTGTTAAAATATATATATATATATATATATATATATATATATATATATATATATATATATATATATATATATATATATATATATATATATATATATATATATATATATATATATATATATATATATATATATATATATATATATATATATATATATATATATCATGTGCTTCTCCTGGGGGCTTACTTTATGTCATTCATTATTGATCACCCTGTAAATATAAAAAATCAGTTTTTCACTGTCCACCCTGACTGGGCCGCGGTGCAGGGCCAGTGGGCGAGGAGCGGCCAGTCACCTGGTCGGCGTCGCTGAGGTTCTTGGACTGGGCGGTGGGGAAGCCAGAGCCGTGGTCCATGGTGTGCAGATCGGCGCCGTACTCGACACACACGTCCTCGTCGATCGACGAGACGATCCGCCAGAACTCGCGCTCCACCGTCTGCGTCGGGATCATCTGTCGCGGCAGCGCACAGGTCACTGGGGCACAGGTCACCCACTCCGGGGGGGCGCCCGGACTACAGTGGTCATCGGCCCACCCACTGCGGCCGCAGGCCACTCGCTCATCGGTGTGGTAACAAGGCCCAAGCAGTGTCTGACCGGGAACCAGGCAGCGACAGGGCGTGACGGCGCAGAGCTACGATCTACAGGCTGTTCCAAAAGGTTTACCCAGATAAATCCCTCGCATTTCTTTATCTGATGCTTATAAAGATTTACATCTTTGTAGCCAAAGGCATGGTAAACACGAAAAGCATATCAATGCTAATTCAAGAGGCAAAACAGTCTTACGCATGACTAGTAAATGGTGTAACTAAACAAGGTCGCCGGGCTTACGTGCACGGGCATGTTGAAGTAGTCCGATTTGAACTGGTCGGCCATCTCGCCAAACGTCTGCAGCGTGTACTCCTTCTGCGCCTGCTCGAACCCGAACGCCTCCTGCGGCTTCTCCACCTCGGCAGCCACGCACTGCGGGCACCGCCAGTCGCCTGCGGGCACACAGACCGGCGCTGTAGCACACACTGCCGGCATCGCCAGTAGCAGCGGCCACTGACTGAGCCAGCTCACGTGTCTGACCTGGTTTCCGTGTCTGAGGGTCACGCGCCGAGTTCGGATCACGCAGGACTCTAGAAGCCCCAAACAGACTCACGTGTGCCCCTGACGGTCTTACGAAGGTTGCTGAACTCTCACCCGAACAGGGGGTTTCGTAGCTAACGTGTAGGTCAAATGACCTTTAACCCTCGCCGGCACAGGGGGGGGGGGGTTGATGCAGCCCCCTAAGGTTTTTCGCGAATAACTCGCGTAAAAAGCGGCCGATCGCGACGAAACTTTCGGCACCCTCGCGTTGATCTATTTTACACCTAACCTGATAATTTCATGACCCTGACCCAAATGACCTTTGACCTACTTTCCGAGACCACGTTTGGCCGGAATCGCGATTCGGCGTATGTCGGCTCACATTAGCCGCACGTTTGCAGTCTTTTCGTGGTTTCAAACGTTCACACATGTGATTTGATGCTGCTCCCATGCATTAGGGTGGATGTCAAGGTCACCTGAAGGTCAAGTCAGGTAACTGACCTTTGATTTGACATTGACCTTGGTTTACTTTTTCGAGTTTTACTAGTTTCTAGGTCAGTTTTTTTAGCTCAATTGAAATTTAGCAACCATCTGAATTTTGAACATTTAAGAAGTAGTTTTGGTGCCTTCGTAACATGTTACGAAGCTGACAGAGGCGGTTGACACGTACTAAGAATACCCGTCACGACCCCCTACTGGTTGACCTGACCTGACCTGACCCGACCTGGCCTAAATGCATGAAGACATCGTCTGTGATCAAAACTGACACCGATATTCGACCCCGAAAACCCTCATAGCAGGGGCATTCCACGATAGATCGACAAAAAAACCTTGAAATTTACACCTGCATATTTTATTTTTTGCTTAAAATTGGTCTAATGGGTTGTGATGGGCGGGGAACCCAGCTGTGGCAAGGATTTTTTTCTTCGAACAACGGTTTCCGAGATATAGCCTCGGGCAGTTCCTGGAGGTCACGCTGCAACCTATGCTTGGCGGCTTATAACTCAGAAACTATTGGTTTTCTATGGTAAAAACTTGATATGGTTCAACTCGCAATCAACCAACAAACGTTTTGGCTATCTCGGATTTTCGATTTTTGAAAATTTTGATCACGTGACATCTTGACCTTTTTTCGAAGAGTGACTTAGATATTTTCCCAGCTGAAAGTCGCAATTTTGTCTGATGACGATTAAAGCCTTATCAATTGTCATTCATATGCGATAATAAAAAAGTGGCTTTCGGCCTGCGTTGACCTCAGGTCAGGTCATTTTTATGACCTTCCCATTATTACGAGCGGGAGCGACAGTGAGATCTCGAGAAAAAAAGCAAGATAGCGACAAGCGGTAAACGGCACAGGGTACACATGGAAAAGGTCTACAATTTTTACTCTGGTCATTTTCAGGTCAGGTCAAAGATGACGTCACAGGGGTAAAAAGAAAGTCTAAATGGCGGCACTACATATAAATGAAGTTTTTCTCGAATAACTTTCGAAGTATCCCAGCTAGGAACAAACTAATAGCACCATCGTGATCCTCTCGTCGATCCGCATCGAAACATGTGTATGTTGACCTCGAAAGGTCAAGGTCAAAAGTTGACCTTAGGTCATGTGACCTTTAAGGTCATCATATATATCATTCGATGGGCCTTGACGAGCTGAACACAATGAGCTTATCCGCGCGGCTGTATCTCAAACCTGTAAGGAGTTATTAGCAAAAAAGCATTTGGTGACCTTTAATGACGTCACATGACCCAAGAGCAACGTCACAGTTGACCAAGAGCAAAAAAATTCTCAAGGTAGTCAAAGTTAGTCGCATATGGAGTCACTCATGGTACATGAGGCAATTCCGACGCGTTTTAGTGTAAAAATAAGGGAGCTGATTTTCCCCCAATTGACTTAAAATGGGGTGGTCAAGAAATTGACCTGACCTCAGGTCATCGGTATCGAAATTCAAAACGAACTGGCGCTAGGCGAAAGCAAACGGATTGGTGCCTTTTCTACGTGTCTTTCTTTATTAGATCAAAATGTACAGCCAAAAACGGAAAATTATTGTGTGTTCAACGCGTGACCTCGGATGACCTTTCAGCGGGTCACTGATACAAAGCTGCACCAGTGCCATCAATAATAGCCTAACTCAACATGATTTAAAGTATTTTAACCGGTCAGATGCGTTTCGGTGGTAGCCGATATTTCTGCCATTGACTTATAAAGGACAGATCAAAAAATGACCTGATCTCGGGTCAATGCACGCCGAAAGCCACTTTTTTATTGTCGCATATGAAAGACAATTGATAAGGCTTTAATCGTCATCAGACAAAATTGCGACTTTCAGTTGGGAAAATATCAAGGTTACTCTTCGAAAAAAAAAGATCAAGATGTCACGTGATCAAAATTTTCAAAAATCGAAAATTGGAGATAGCCAAAACGTTTGCTGGTTGATTGCGAGTTGAACCATATAAAGTTTTTACCATAGAAAACCAATAGTTTCTGAGTTATAAGCCGCCAAACATAGGGTTGCAGCGTGACCTCCAGGAATTGCCTGAGGCTATATCTCGGAAACCGTTGTTCGAAGAAAAAATCCTTGGCACAGCTGGCTTCCCCGCCCATAACAACCCATTAGACCAATTTTAAGCGAAAAATAAAATATGAGGGTGTACGGCTTTGAACGATATATCGTGGAGTGTCCCAGCAGTGACACTACGCCGTTCTAACAGGTCCCGATTTTCCTGACTTTTGGGTCATTGACCTGAGCTGTCAGAGGTTGTACTATTGGTCTCAAGATAAGGGCCCAGGCGACCTGTAATTTTGATGCGGTGAATACCCTAACCACTCACCACAGCTCGGGCCGAGTGCACCCCTCCTCCCACCCAGCGACACCCCCACTCGAGTTGTGGCGAGGGTGAGGGTATTCACCGCATCCGAACTACAGGTCGCCTGGGCCCTTATCTTGAGACCAATAGTACAACCTCTGACAGCTCAGCGCGGCCAACTTTCCTTGTCTTGGCATAATGCATAGCTGAATTGAGCAAAGTAGACATAAACAAATACAAATCCATACATGATGTGAAAACGACAGAGCGATGAATCTTCCTCTCAAGTATCCTGAACCACTTAAGTACCGACTTGAAGCGTTAAACTAACAATTATGACGTCCGTTTAGTAGGGCGACAGCGGAACGTCCCTTCCGCGGCCCGTCACACAGCCGAGAGCGCCGGGTCTGCGCGTCGATAATGGTCATTTCACGCTTTAGTGTGGCTTACTTTGATTCATCGTGACACTGAGTTGTGTAATTGCGCCTTGTTGCCGGCTGTGATAGACGCATATTAATATTTGATAATATTTTTCGCTACATATTGCTTTTGGCATTCAGCTTTCATTGGAAAACGAAAAACATGCCTATAATTTCAAGAATGTCCTTGACAGCTCGTTAAATAAAAAATTATTAGGTAGGTACGTACGTTTTTACAAATGCGCAATTTTTGAAAAAGGCCATCGAACGATTTCGATAAAAAATACATTTTTGGAATCAGCTCACTGTCAGCTTTCGAATGGTATATTTCGTTTCTTTGGTGGATGAAATGACTTTCCGACGAACCGTGAAGTGGGGTGCCGGAAAAATTCCGTTTGAACCTAGTTTGTACGTGCGCACGTGCAGGAGGACGTAACTGTATCTCACAATGTTTTGGCCAATTTCCCTCGAAGACAGCCGGCCCCGAGCGGACTGACGACTGAGCGGACTGACGAGCCGCCTACCTTTGGGGATCTCGATCAGCGGCGGGTTCAGGCAGAACGTGTGGTAGCTGTCGTCGCAGCCGTCACAGAGCAGCATCGACTCCTCCGAGTCGCCCTTGGTGCAGATGTGGCAGACGTAGCGCGCCAGCTGCAACCAACCGTCATCGCGTGTCACTGGCCCGCACTGACCACGGCACTCACTCAACAATCAACACTGAACAATGATCGCCGCTGACCAATCACTGTTACAGACCACCGGCGGTAACTAGCCACTGCCAGTTACTTATTATTGACCGTCAACGGTCGTTATTTACCACACTACTTACCACTTACTACTGAACACTGACCGACACTGACCACTGATCACTGATCGTTACTGAACACTGATCGTTACTGACCACTGACCGTCAAATACTTCAGGACGAGGCTGCTTTGGTTGGCCCTATATAGACTTCGGGTGACTATTAATTATCCACGCCAACTTACAACCGACGGGGTGGGGTATCCGCACCCCCCCCCCATGAGATCTCGAAAACGAAGCAAGATAGCGACAAGCGGTAAACGGAATGGGATACACGTGGATAAAGTCTACACTTTTAATGAGGTCATTTTTAGGTCATGTCAAAGATGACGTCATAGGGGTCAAAAAAGTCAAAATAGCCCCGCTAAATATGAAGAGTTTTTTTCTCGAATAACTTTCGAAGTACCCAAGTCAGGAACAAACTAATAGCACCTTCGTGATCCTCTCGTCGATCCGCATCGAAACATATATATTTTGACCTCAAAAAGGTCAAGGTCAAAGGTTGACCTCAGGTCACGTCAGCTCAAGGTCATCATGTAAATCATTCAATGCGCATTGACGAGCTGAACACAAGGAGACCATCCGCGCGGCTGTATCTCGTTCCTGTAAGAAGTTACCTATTACAGTGGAATCCGCTTAACCTTCGCCCCAGCGGGGGGAGGGCATATGTTACCACCCTGTCGCGTTTTTTTGCGTATGAATAAAACGGTGTCCGGACAAATTGCCGAAAGGCGATATACCGAATGTCATTTTGCCGAATGCATTTCGCCGAATGTCATTTTGCCGATGTGCTTTTTGCCGACGTGTCAAGAAGTCGAAATGCTAAAAGTCGAAATGCCATTTGCCGACATGCCTTTTTGCCGAAATGCCAATTTGCCGAAATGCTTATTAGTCGAAATGTAAATTTGCCGAAATGCGATTTGCCGAAATGTCGATTAGTCGAAATGTCAATTAGTCGAAATGTCAATTAGTCGAAATGTCAATTTGCCGAAATGTCAATCTGCCGAAATGTCAATTTGCCGAAATGTCAATTTGCCGAAATGTCAATTTGTCGAAATGTCAATTTGTCGAAATGTCAATTTACCGAAATGCCAATTTACCGAAATGTAGGTAAATTTGCCAAAATGTCAATTTGCCGAAATGTCAATCTGCCGAATGGGTAGTTTGCCGAAATGTCAATTAGTTGAAATATAACTTTGCCGAAATGTCAATCTGCAAACCTAGGTTAGGTTAGGTTAGGTTAGGTGGTGTTTATTTACTTAGGACTGATCACCAATTTACTTTTGGTGCAATCCCCAAGTAAGAAGCAAATCACATGATATCCTTTGACCTCCTGATTTCATAACTAATAATTATTCATGGCACAAGCAAGTTTAAAAGCACCAATACCATGTGAAAATAAACATCAAATTGCTCGTGGCGAAACAGCGCAGTGCCGAAGGCAATACCTTAGGAGAGATTACAGGCAAAGGTAAGTCAAATATTTTTAGGTTAACCCTCGCCGGCCGAGGGGGGGGGGGCGAGTGCGGGTGCCGCACCCCCATAGGTTTTTTGCGATAGCTCCGAACACGCTGGCGATAGAGAGCTGAAACTTGGCATAGCTGACCTTTTGTTTCAAGCCGGATCTTTTTACACCAACCGCATTTTCGGGTCAGGTCAGGTCACCGACCTATGACGTCATAAGTGAACCTCTGCACGGTCTTCAGATATCGCAACTTCGCAACGCCCTCACGGCTAGAGGTGATGTCACAGGGAGATAAAACTTGCAGGATCTAGTATCCATTATGAGTTTCACAATTTGCATATCTCGGATTTTTCCTAAAGGTCATATGAGGTCAGGTCATTTTCGTGACATCACCATTATAAGTCAATGGGGAAAAATGAAAACTGCTATTCAGGCGCCGGGAACGATCTCCAACTATCTCAAGCACACAGAATCGTGATTTGACGCACTCCTTGCAAGGTTAGGTGAGTAACTTTTGCAATGTTGACCTTGCGTGACGTCATCTATGACGTCATCAAGGTCATATTAGTTTTTCGTCAATAACTCCCGATCAAATTGAGCTAGCGAGTCGGGAAAGCCACCAATGGACTCAGGAAGACCTGCCGAATCGAATGATATGCGACATGACCTCTTTCCACCAACTTCATGACCTAGGGTGCTGACCTGACCGTGACCTTAGGTCAACACCCTAAGTTGACTTGACCCAAACAAAAATTATATCATTTGACGCGCCTAAGCAAGGCAAACACGATGCTGCCAAAATCGCGGCCCTGCGGCCCTTTCTGGCGAAGTTATTCGCCAAAAACTGAACCGTACCTTGGGGCACTTGACCTGACCTCAGAGGTCACCGGTAAACGTAGGACCTTAAAATCGGATGTCAATCTCTGCGTCTCGTAACGGCGCACACGCTCGTTTTTTTCCGCGACGCGCCAGCTCCACCAGGGGCGAAACGACTAATAAGCATTTCGGCAAATTGGCATTTCGGCAAAAAGGCATGTCGGCAAATGGCATTTCGACTTTTTGACACGTCGGCAAAAAGCACATCGGCAAAATGACATTCGCCGAAATACATTCGGCAAAATAACATTCGGCAAATCGCCTTTCAGCAATTACCACTTCGGCCGGCGTGTATGTAGAAAACCAATAGGTCCGGTGAGGGTTAACCCGATTAGTGGCAGGCTCCTGGCTACATTGTTGTGTAGGTATCTGGCCTCAGGCCGAAGGCCTGCAGCCTGATGCACAATCACTTAACCTAAAAATACTTGACTTATCATTGTCTGCAATCCATTCATGTGAGTAGCTTCTCCCTTATCCACGGGTAGGCAAAAAACAGTAGGTCAGGTTAGGTAAGGTTTGGTTATGTTTTTCTTATACTTTGGTGACATGTAAGTGGGTTTCTTTACCTTTGAAAAGCGAGTCGGTCTTAAAGTTAATACTTACGGGTCATGTTAGGTTAGTTTAGGTTAGGTTAGGTTAATTTCGGCTAATTGGCATTTCGGCAAATTGACATTTCGACTAATTGACTTTTCGGTAAATTGACATTTCGGCAAATTTACATTTCGACTAATTAGCATTTCGGCAAATTAGTATTTCGGCGAATTGACATTTCGACTAATTGACTTTTCAGTAAATTGACATTTCGGCAAATTGACATTTCGACAAATTTACATTTCGACTAATTAGCATTTCGGTAAATTAGCATTTCGGCGAATTGACATTTCGACTAATTGCCTTTTCGGCAAATTGACATTTTCGGCTTATTGCACGTCGGCAAAAAGGTATGTCGGCAAATTGCATTTCGACTTTTAGCACTTCGCCCTTTTGACACGTCGGCAAAAAGACACGTCGGCAAAATGCATTCGACATATTGACATTCGGCGAATAAGCATTCGGCAAAATGCAGTTCGGCAAATTGTCCTGTAACCGAATAAAACACCGCGGCGCCGCTTGGAGTAGCTTTTTGTACATCAATTTTGGACAATGCGTGAAATTTTTGACCCCAGGTCATGTCAGGTCAGGTCACCAGGTCAAGGTAACTGACCAAGCCTAAAAAAGTTTGCAATCATGTCCAGCCTGCAGTGTTTGTCAGAAACGTTTTAAACTTAGTGGATTGCATGATGTTATGGGCGCCTAAAAATTGTACAGGGTGTCTCAAAAGTTCGTTGACAGGTACCAGCTATGTTTTTTTATCAATAATTCTAAATCAACAATTAATTAACGGTCGAAATTTTGCATGGGCATTCGTAACAACCTTCCTCAAGCAGTCTCATTGTTTTCAAGCGCATTCGATCCTTCATGAGCTCACAAAAAGGGTTCATCTCTGACCATGGGTCAGGCATGAAAATGGAGGTCGCAAAATCGGGTCGGCTGAGAAACTCTATTTCAGAAGTAATGGGAATGGTTAAGTCGGAAATGACCCATGGCAAACTGTCGGCGAGGATGACTACAACATGATGATCATCTAATAAAAACGGCGGCTAAAATTTTTGAAGGACAAAACCATGCGAGACTAACAGCGTTTTGAACGACCCTCGTACGGCAGCAGACTCGTGCTCCGGAAAGCAGCTGAAAATGAAGTCATAACTATTGAAAACTACAGAGTTACAGGTGACAAAGTTGCCAAAAAGTTATTTGAGGTTGGGTCATTCGAACTGACCTGGTGACTTGACTTTGAAAGGTAGGAGGTTTAAACTTGCTCACAATGTATGTGTAAAATTGATGGTGGAATAGTCAGGCAAACTTTCGCGACGCTACGCGCCGCGGTTTTCCCGCTATTTACGAAAGCCCTCAGGGGGGGGGGGGGGATATCCGCCGACCCATCACTGAGCACTGACCGTTACTGACCACCGACCATCCAGTCGCCGCCGCGACACACAGCCACCACTCACGCACCGGGTCAATGTCGTACAGGATCTTCTTGGCCCTGGGTTTGCTCTTGTTGTTCTCCTGGTAGCCGGACATCTTGGGCCCGGCGCCGTAGAACTGGAGCCGCTTGAGCTCCTTGTTGTTGGGCCCCTGGTCGGCCAGCTCCTGTCGGCACAGAGCGGCAGACACTCACACAGGCCACAGCACCACCAAGCTCGCCGCCTTCACAACCTCAGCAGACAATGTGCCACGCACACAGAGCCACCAGCGACCGGGGAAGATGCGGGCCCGCTGGTTATCTGTGAAATGGCAAAACAGACTCTACAAACTTCGACATATTTGCCATTGCCGGCGACATGTAGTGCGACCAATCAGCCTCCTGTCCTCTGCTCGCTATTTCACATCTCCTAAAGAAATGTAGATACCGCAATTTCGAAGGGGATTGTCGAAAACGTTCCGGGTAAGTCATGGGACATCAAAATGCATTTAATGTCTTCTACCCTCGATATTGTCAACAGTAGGTCGATAGGTACCAGTAAAACGCCTTTTGGGGCGAAGAACAAGCGAGCGAGATAGTGAGCCCTGCACGTGCGGAAGGGCGAGAGGGTACTTCCAACGGGCTTGTGCAAAGCACCCTTCTAACCGGTCGCTAGCGGTGTACCAAATTTGAACGCAATCGGCCCAGCCGTTCCTGAGATCTGGAAGCGGCATTCTGCACGTGCGTACGTGCAAACGGGGTCCAAACTGACTTTTGCACGGCACCCTACTAACCGGTCCCCAACCGTGTACCAAATTTGAGCGCAATCGGCCCAGCCGTTCTCGAGATCTGGAAGCGCCCCCTGCACGTGCGCACGTGTAGTAGCACCTTAACCGCAACACATGGGAATGCATTGCCTGGTGGGTGCCTACCTGTATGCCAAGTTTCAGCGAAATCGCCCCAGTAATTACCGAGTTATTGAAATGGGAACAAATTTGGCCCCTCTTCTTTTTGTATTTTGCACGTGCAGTGGGGGTCACTCACATAGATCAAGAGTATCCGACCTTTGGTAGAAGGGATGCAGCTACCCTACAAAAATTACCGCAAGACAATCGCCCAAGCAGCTGCTGAGATATGAGCCTCTCAAAATCATTACTTTTGCAAAACAGCTTGAACACCCTTGACTTTTCACGTGGCACGTGCCACGGCCCACGACGGTCTTCGGTACTGCCTGTGACGGGGCGGGCCTTACACCAGCCACCGAGCCGCCCAGACCAGACCAGCCACCGAGCCGCCCAGACCAGACCAGCCACCGAGCCGCCCATCCCAGACCAGCCACCGAGCCGCCCATCCCAGACCAGCCACCGAGCCGCCCATCCCAGACCAGCCACCGAGCCGCCCATCCCAGACCAGCCACCGAGCCGCCCATCCCAGACCAGCCACCGAGCCGCCCATCCCAGACCAGCCACCGAGCCGCCCATCCCAGACCAGCCACCGAGCCGCCCAGACCAGACCAGCCACCGAGCCGCCCAGACCAGACCAGCCACCGAGCCGCCCATCCCAGACCAGCCACCGAGCCGCCCATCCCAGACCAGCCACCGAGCCGCCCATCCCAGACCAGCCACCGAGCCGCCCATCCCAGACCAGCCACCGAGCCGCCCATCCCAGACCAGCCACCGAGCCGCCCATCCCAGACCAGCCACCGAGCCGCCCATCCCAGACCAGCCACCGAGCCGCCCATCCCAGACCAGCCACCGAGCCGCCCATCCCAGACCAGCCACCGAGCCGTCCACTCACCTGGACGGCATCGTGGTCCAGCGTGGTGTCCTGGGGGCGCGACACGCGCCGCGTGCCGGCCAGCTTCTTAGCCGGGTCGTCCGGTGACGCCTTCCCCGCCTCGGGCACCGCTGACTGGTCAGCAGCTGTCGGCTGCTGTGGGTAGGGTGACAGTCAGCTGTGGGTAGGGTGACAGCTGAGGGTATGGTGACAGTCAGCTGTGGGTAGGGTGATAGTCAGCTGTGGGTAGGGTGACAGCTGTGGGTAGGGTGACAGCTGTGGGTATGGTGACAGCTGAGGGTAGGGTGACAGCTGAGGGTAGGGTGACAGTCAGCTGAGGGTAGGGTGACAGCCAGCTGAGGGTAGGGTGGCAGCTGTGGGTAGGGTGACAGCTGTGGGTATGGTGACAGCTGTGGGTAGGGTGACAGCTGTGGGTAGGGTGACAGCTGAGGGTAGGGTGACAGCCAGCTGAGGGTATGGTGACAGCTGTGGGTAGGGTGACAGTTGTGGGTAGGGTGACAGCTGAGGGTAGGGTGACAGTCAGCTGTGGGTAGGGTGACAGCTGTGGGTAGGGTGGCAGCTGTGGGTAGGGTGACAGCTGAGGGTAGGGTGACAGTCAGCTGTGGGTAGGGTGTCAGCTGTGGGTAGGGTGACAGCTGTGGGTAGGGTGGCAGCTGTGGGTAGGGTGACAGCTGTGGGTAGGGTGACAGTCAGCTGTGGGTAGGGTGACAGTCAGCTGAGGGTAGGGTGACAGCTGAGGGTAGGGTGACAGTCAGCTGAGGGTAGGGTGACAGTCAGCTGAGGGTAGGGTGACAGCTGAGGGTATGGTGACAGCTGTGGGTAGGGTGACAGCTGAGGGTAGGGTGACAGCCAGCTGAGGGTATGGTGACAGCTGTGGGTAGGGTGACAGCTGAGGGTAGGGTGACAGTCAGCTGTGGGTAGGGTGACAGCTGTGGGTAGGGTGGCAGCTGTGGGTAGGGTGACAGCTGTGGGTAGGGTGACAGCTGTGGGTAGGGTGACAGTCAGCTGAGGGTAGGGTGACAGCTGTGGGTAGGGTGACAGCTGTGGGTAGGGTGACAGCTGAGGGCAGGGTGAGTTAGCTATGGGTAGTGTGGCAGTCAGCCGTGGGTAGGTAGACAGTCTGCTGTGGGCACTGGTGTCAATTGTATACTTTTGGTGGGTCCTCGGCCCCCCAATGCTGAGTTCGTCCCCCAATGCTACTCTCGCCCCCCCCCCCCCCCCCGCCAGTGTTTTTCTGATTTTCGCACTTTAGCAATGCCTATATGCATGCAACGTTAGAGATTCTTGCTTTCAGTGGCTTCGTGCTTTTGTCAAGTTTTTCCTCAATTTGGTATCAATTATTTTACTACAGATTTACAGACAGATACAGCAGATTACAGATTACCATAACACGCGGCGAATTTAGCGAAGTGCAAAACCAAGATTCCTACATATATGCAAAACCACGTCGAGCTATTGGGCTTGTTCTTAGAGTTTTGTGGGAGGTCGAAAATGTGTTGATTTGGACGCCGCATCTGGACGCCGGGGCTATCGGTGGCTGGACAGAGACGGCGAGGGGGACACTTTGGTAGGAATTCTCTGTTCTGATATTTTTGTTGACAGGTGCTGCCGCCAGCGCTAAACGCTGGCGCGGAGACATGTCATTTGAATATAAAGCATGTGCCACTCGGTGTTTACAGCTGGAGCTGAGTGTTTACAGCTGGAGCTGAGTGTTTACAGCTGGAGCTGAGTGTTTACAGCTGGAGCTGAGTGTTTACAGCTGGAGCTGAGTGTTTACAGCTGGAGCTGAGTGTTTACAGATGGAGCTGAGTGTTTACAGCTGGAGCTGAATGACCGTGCTTGATATCTGATTACGGTATACAGATTGTATCGTGGTGGCTGCTGTGGTCACACCCCGCTCTACAGGGTGTTCGCGATAAATTTGACAGTTTTTCATTTCTCTCTTATTTCAAGACCAGTTGGAATATTCGTTATCTGTAAAAGGCAATATTTAGCTCAGCATGTTGTTTGTTATTGGTGGAAAAGTTGTTGAGCTTGGTTAATTGGAACCTGTCACAATCCTTGAAGACAGTGGCATGCATAATGATCAACCGCGCCGGTTTTCATGTTTGACTGCTGATAAATGCTCTTCAAACGCTGGTAAGGCCGCTAGAGTGAAATTAAAGAGTTGCGTTCGGAACATGGACGCATTGGCCTGTAGGAGACAGTGTGGCGACTGCCCGTTCAGCGACGGCAACATCATGAGCTACCACATCTTCAAGGGAGGTCTTCAGCTGCCCTCGTGAGGCTGTGTGAAGCTGCTCAGCGCGACAGTGAGGCCATGAGTGGAGAGAGTGACCATATGGACATCGGCTCACATGCGAACAAAACTTGTCGCCTGGCTTTCCCTCCGCGAAGAGTCAAAAGTCACTTTTGGAGAATTTCCTCAACCTCACCGGGCCGAACATTTGACCCCCTAAGTCAAAAGACTGCAATCTTATGAGCCGTTGCTTATGTGGCGTAGCTGCGAAAAACACCAGCGATGCCTGTTGTAACATCAAAGTCAAACGACCAGCAAGGCTGAAGATGGTGTCCTCATGTCTCTGTAGAGACCATGTGAAGACCATCTTCTCCAGGTCAAGTGGCTCACTGAAGGTGTTAGGAGATTGATGGGGACAATTTTTTGAATGTGTTGAAAACTACATGTACTGGGCTATCGTCTGTAATTTGAATGGTGGAAATCCATCGGTTACTTCCTGAGATATCAAGCATTTTCAACAGAGTTGGTGGAGTGTCAAATTTATCGCGAACACCCTGTATAGCCTGGAGCCGCCGCTGAGCCGGCGCCGGTATCGTATGCAGTCTGGGCTGTGGTCGCCCGGGCCACCGCCTGAATACAGCTCTCGGCCCGGGCCACCGCCTGAATACAGCTCTCGGCCCGGGCCACCACCTGAATACAGCTCTCGGCCCGGGCCACCGCCTGAATACAGCTCTCGGCCCGGGCCACCACCTGAATACAGCTCTCGGCCCGGGCCACCGCCTGAATACAGCTCTCGGCCCGGGCCACCACCTGAATACAGCTCTCGGCCCGGGCCACCGCACAGTGGGCCGATATGCCATTCCAGCGCGACAGGGCCTGAATCCTCGAACGGAACCCTTGGTTTTTCGCGAGTAATTCGCGTAAAAAGCGGCCGATCGCAACGAAACTTTCAGCACCCTCGCGATAACTACTTTTACAGCTAACCTTAAAATTTCATGACCCTGACCTTAATGATCTTTGACCTGTGACCTTCTTTCGAGACCATGTTTGGCCGGAATCGCGATTCAGCGTATGTCGGCTCGCATTAGCCGCGGGTTTGCAGTCTTTTCTTGGTTTAAAGCGTTCAGAAATGGGATATTATGTTGCTCCCATGCTTTAGGGTGGGTGTCAAGGTCACCAGAAGGTCAGGTAAGGTCATTGACCTTTGATGACCTTGATTCACTTTTTCGAGTTTTACATGTTTCTAGGCTAGTTTTTGGAGCTGAACTCGAATCTAGCAACCATTTGAACATTTACTATGTAGCTTTGGTGCCTTCATAACATGTTACAAAGCTGTCAGAGGCGGTTGCCACCTACTGCAAATACCCGGCAAAACCCTTACTGATTGACCTGACCTGACCTGACCCGACCTGGCCTTAATGTATGAAGACATCATCTATGATCGTAAATAACATTATATTCGTGATCAGCACCCAAAAAAAAAAAAAACATAGCAGCCACCCTTTACGACGTTCTAACAGGTCCCGATTTTCCCGACTTTTGGGTCATTGACCTGACCTGGACGATCAACCGATGACCTAGGACCTTACATTGGGTATTATCAGCTTCCTCTTGTCACGGGCAACACGCTCGTCTTTTCCGCGAAGCTCCAGCTCGATCAGGGGCGAAACGGCGGGGGGGTCCAACGGACCACTTCTATACGTTCGCGGCCGGAAAAACACCACTAGGGGCGAGGGTTAAGCCAAATCTGAGGGCTTATTTCAGAAAGACCGCTAAAAGAGCAATTGAATGCACTTTTCCGCGACGATGTAGCTCTATTGGTTCCCGAGGTAAGGGCCGGTTTTCGAGAAGTGTTGATATATGCAACATTTTACCTTTGATGACCTCTGGTGACGTGACCTTTGACCTGACCTAGAAATGACTAATTACTCCATCTGGAATTTCGGGCGCTCTTTCGAATGCCACTTACCTACTACGTGTCGCTATGTGGCCCAAGAGCCATTTTAGAAGGGGAGTGTTCAATCAACACCTCCCGGCCCGGCGCGTTTGACGCCGAGCACCGGTCCGGGGCGAGTTGATGTTTGGCTGCTACATCCAAAGTCGCAAAAAGTCGCAAAAAATGACTGTTGTATCTTGTAGTGCAATGAATCATTGACATGTAGCGAGATTTTCGAAGCGGTACTCAGCGGTACTTTTTTTAAAAGTCTATTTGTGTGTGACATCAATTATGTGAAATTATATTTTCGTCTTTAAATATTTGCGGTGCCAATACATCATAACCAAGTAAGAGTTCGCCATTTTCATGTGGTTATGTGTGTTCTGCAGACCCGGAGCTATCGTTTGATGTATATAAATATGGAATTCCTCCTCAAATAGTGATTGTTTTCGTGGATCAAAGATACGTTGTCGAAGAGTGCGGGGGACGAGTTCGGTCCAAACGATTCCGAAGTTCGCTGAGTTTTCGCCATGAAATAGCAATTGTGTTGGAAAACAAAGACCACAGCAATGTAGTATCATCATTTTTGAACAAATTGGTAAAGGTTTCATTGCACATCCACAAAGTTCGATTTTTTTACCCATGTCGTGCTAGACCTGGCGATCGGCCCAGTGTGCACCGCCTGAATACAGCTCTCGGCCCGGGCCACCGCCTGAATACAGCTCTCGGCCCGGGCCACCACCTGAATACAGCTCTCGGCTCGCTGAATACAGCTCTCGGCTGGTACTTGTGGCGTCTGCACATAAGTTAAAAAACGTTTAGTTCGTTCAGCATTTAGCAAACCTCGTTGTCCAGGGGGTAATAGGTGTAATTTGTGCAATTGTGGGTTCACAGGCCAGTGTACACAAAAGAATGTAGTCTACATGATAACATGTAGGAACTTTGTAGTGCAGCAACGAC